CATATTCCTGCTCCGCCTCCCGTCGGAGGCCCTCGTCATTTCTGTCAGCAGTTCTGGCGCCTTTGACGCCGCGGCCCCGGCGTCGGTCGTCGTGGCCGAGACGGCTCTCGGCCTCTGGCACGCGCGGCGCAAGAATGAAGGGCGCCCCGCAACGTGGTGGCGCCGCTGCTGGTGCGCCTCGTCGCGGATCTCGTGCTCCGTGCGCGCCATTGGGCCGTGCCTCGCCTCGGGCGCTCGGGATTGCCCGCTGTTTGCTGGTGTCGGAAGCGCGGCGGCCGCCGAAGGTCTCTGCGATGTCGTTTTTAAGGCTGGCGTAGTCAACGCGAATGCGTGCACCGCGCGCGCGATTCGCCGCGGCCATGCGCAGGGCCTCTTGGTGGGCGGCTCCACCGTCGGCGAAATTAAGCGCGCCGGGGGCTGGAAGTCGTCGGCCTTCCTGCGCTATTTGCCAGCCGACGCTTTGGAGGCGCGTGGCGCCCTGGCTCCACTGCTCGATGGGGGGCGCGGACCAGCGTCCGCTCTCGCGCGCGGAAGTGGCCGGCGCGTCCGATCGCGCATCCGTTCGACGCGCGGGCTAGCAGTCGCGCGGGGTTGCGCTCGCCCGCGCGCGCCTGTCTGCGTCGCGAGCGCGCTCGGTTGGCGCGGGGCCCCCCGCGCCCTCGCGCCGCAGTCGGCCGCGCGCGGCGGCGGGAAGGTGCGCGGGCGGCCCCCCAGGTGGGGCAACGGTCCGCGGCACCGCTCGCCTCCGCTCGCTCGCGGCCGGCGCGGCGCCGCGCCCCGTGACGGGCGTGGCGTCGCCGCGCCGTCCCTCGTTGTCAACAGTGCCGCGCTTTGCGCCGCCCGCTGGGGTGCCAGGGCGTCGGTTCCCAGGCGGTGGATATAGGGCGCGGTTCATGGTGCTGCGCGCTTATTTGTTTCAGGGTCGTGAAGCGCGGCCGGGGTGCCCACCGCGCGCGCGCGCATGTCGCGCCGCGCGCCGGGCCGCGCGCGCCCGCCGCGCCCGCGCGGGCGATCCGCCCTGGCGCGGCGCAGGGGGGGCGCGCGCGCCTGCCGCAGCGGCGCTGCGCAGTTGCCGCGTCGCCCGCGCATGGCGCGGGCGGCGGTGGGCGCCGCTTTTCTCTTCCCCCGTGGCCTACCCCTGGCCGTTGTCTCTTGCGGCGGCGGGCCTCCGTGCCTTCGTCGCCGTCGGTCGGCTGGCGTCTCTCGCGCCCTCGCGCCGCAGTCGGCCGCGCGCGGCGGCGGGAAGGTGCGCGGGCGGCCCCCCAGTTGGGGCAGCGGTCCGCGGCGCCGCTCGCCTCCGCTCGCGCGCGGCCGGCGCGGCGCCGCACCCCATGACGTGCGTGGCGTCGCCGCGCCGTCCCTCGTGGTCATCCGTGCCGCGCTCTGTGCCGCCCGCGGGGGCGCCGGGACGTCGGCTCCCAGGCGGTGGATATAGATAGAGCCCCGCCTCGCGCGAGAATCGGCGAGGGGCCCGCGATCGGCTCGCGCGCGCCGTGCCGCGCGCGGCGTGTCCTCGAGGCCCGAGGGCGGAACGGCAGAAGCACTGCCTTTCGGAGCTCCGCGTGTTTCTCCTGTATCTCAGAGGAGGAAAAGTTACCCGTGTACCCCTGCCCCCTCGCCCGTTTTCCCGTTTTTGGGCCTCCTCGGAGGCCCTCGTCGCCACCGTTGGACTCGCCTCGAAATCCTGGTCAGAGCGCGCCCCAGGGGAGGTCCGGGGAGTAGCGATATCGGTACCTGCTGGTTTCCCCATAGGCCCGACAACGGAACGGCACAAGCACAGCCCTTCGGAGCTCCGCGCGGTTCTTTTGCGTCTGCGCTGGGCCCCCCTGGGGGGCGCCTTCGGCGCTGCCCGGAAGTTCAGCGCGTCGCTCCGCCGGTTCTGGCCCGCCGCGCTCCAGCGCGACGCGCTACCCGCTCGCCGGTTCCCGGGCGTCGGCGCCTCGCGCTTCTCCGAGCCTCCCGCCTTGCGGGGCGGAGCGGGGCGCCATCTGCTCGCGGGGCTGCGATGCAGACGTGTCCGACCGTGCGCTCTCTCCACCCTTCCTGCCGACCCTCTTGCGCGCCAGGGGCCAGCGGACTCGGCGCGGCTGGCCGCTCTCACCCTGGCCGGGGCGTGCTGCTGGAGGCGTCCCTGGCCCGCGGCGTCCTGGCATCGCTCGGAAGGGCGTGCGTTGTCTTCTCGGCGAGGACCATCGAGGAGCATCGCAGGGTCATCTGGCAACAAAAGCACGCACGAGATCAGCAAAGGCACGGGGAATGGACGTCCGATCGAGGGCAAAGCGTCGTCCCAACCCGCCAGTGGACTGGTGTCTCGGCCCCACCATCCCAGACCCCCGAGTTGGGGGGTAGGCCCCTCGAAACCCGAGGGGAACAGCCTCTACCCCCACGCAGGGGGGGTGCATCGGTATGGGGATCGTTTCAACGATGCTCGGGCCCGAGGTGCCCCGAGGGTGTCCCCACGAGGCCCGGCTGGCTTCACGAGCGCCCCTGACGGTGTCCAGACAGGTCCGCCTGCGGTACGGTTCGGTTCGATTCGATTCGTCGGCTGGGGCCGCGATTCCGATTCGAGTCGATTCGATTCGGTTCGATTCGCCGGCATCGACCTGGGCCAGCCGGAGCCATGCGTGGCGATCCGATCCGTTTCCGATCCGACCTGGTCTCGCGAGTCGATGCAGCTCAGGCCTGCCAGAGGGCCCCGGGGGCTCCCGATTGGGGCGACAAGCCAGGGACGCCTTGGGCCAGAGGGGGGGTGGCTCGCCTCTGGCGGCATCCTGTCTGGGCATCTGGCGCGGACAGAAAGCGGAGGCAGAGGAGGGGGATGGAGAGAGGGGGATAGACAGAGGGGGATAGGAGGAGGAGAAGGAGGACAGGAAGAGGGGGATCTAGAGAGAGGAGGAAGGAGAGGGGGACTCGGTGGGGAGGGGGGGAGCTTCGCAGCACGTGGCGAGCTCCCTCTGCCTCTCAGGAGCCCGCCGGCCTGGCAGGGGGCCCGCCTCACAGCTCTGGACGCCCGACATGGGTACCGAAAGAATGGGTACGATGCCCAACAGCAGTTCCTGCTCATTTTGAACAGGACTCGCTGTCCGCGCCGCCGCGGCCTGTGTCCATTCGAGACAGAAGGCCGCCTGCCCAACAGCGGCCGCTGCTGGCTTGGGACAACATTTGTTGTTGGGCATTGTGCCCATTCTTTCGGTACCCATTTCGGGTATCCAAAACAGCCTCGCGGCCCCTCCGAGGAGGCCCCCGTGGTCCGAGAGGCCCCACGGCCGCCCGTCGCGGCAGGCCGCCCGTGGCGCGCCGTGCCCTCGTGGGCGCCGCCGCGGGGCCTCCTCCGCCGCCCGCGGGGCCTCTCGGCCGCCTTCTCGAAGGAGGAGGAGGAGGAGGAGGAGGAGGAGGAGGAGGAGGAGGAGGAGGAGGAGGGAGGATGATGAGGAGGAGGAGGTTGAGGGAGGAGGAGGAGGAGGAGGAGGGAGGAGGAGGAGGAGGAGGAGGTTTCCGGACCTCCTGCTGCTGGAAGGTTGGCTCGGGTGCTCTTCCCTGGGCCTTCGCGCTCTCTCTCTTCTGGTGGGGGGGTCGGGCGTCCCTCAGAGGCCTCCAGGTGGAGTACTGGGACCCGCTCATCATTCCGGACATCTTCGCCTCCTCGTTCTCCCTCTCCTTCTCTCGTCTTCCTCCCCCCATCTTCCTCCTCCTCCTCCTCCTCCTCCTCCTCCTCCTCCTCCTCCTCCTCTACTATTGCTTCCCTTTCTCACCTGGCAACGCCCACCGTTAACCCACCCCACCTGCGCATTTCGCACACGTAGTTCCTTAATGACGGACGGTTCTCTCGCTGCAGCGTTCGCGATATTTCAGGGGTGGTGCGTGTGCTCCCGTCGTTCACAGTGGCGCTCTCGGCCCATCGTTGTCCAAGTTTCTGGAACAGGTTCCTTCCTCGTCGTTGCCGTTCTTCTCCTGTCCCAGCTTTCGGCTCCCCTGTTCCTTCTGCTCATCCTGCTCCTTCCTGCTCCTTGAGCTCTTCCTGCTCCTGCTCCTCCTCTTCCTTCCTCCTCCTTCCTCCTCCTCCCGCATCCTCCTCGTCGTCGTCGCCCTCCTCCCATGTGCACTTCCACCTCCACTTCCAGCCATTGACCTCCAATTCATTCTCAGACTTTTTCCCTGATGCTCGACCCCACCAGTCTGTCCCCGAGCCTCCAGATTCCAACCTTATCGCTCCAATGCCACCTTAGCGCTCCGACCTCCAGCTTCAGCATTCGATCTTCACCTCCACCCCCAACTATCGACTTTCAGTTTCACACGCCTGCGCTTCGACTCCTGCTTCCGACCAAGCCAGTTCAACCTCTGGCCATCACCCAGCCGCAGAACTTCGGCCCCCGACACCACCTCAGCATTCCGACTTCCAGTTTCCGGCTTGCAACAATTCACCACTCACCAAACCATCCCAACCCAACCCGAAGGCCCTGATTGGCCCTCCATTTCCAGTGGGGGGGGGTCGGGGAGCAATGAGAACACACATATGGAACCCGTACCCCCCACCACCCGAAGTTCGGGTCTTCGGGTTGGGTTGGGGTGGTCTGGTAGGCAGTCAACCATGATGATCTTCGTTTGAGCCAGAGTTTTGCAGAGTTTGAAAGAAAGGCTACAGCCTCACGCGCACTGCCCAAACTCCTGACGGCACGCGCGGGTTTCGCCGCAATGGGGTTGTACCGGCGCCTCGCTCGCTCGCCAACTCTTCCAGTGTACAGGAGCCACTATATGTATATATAGATCTTTGCAAAAGCCCCCGTTCCAAGTATGCAGCAAACGAAATGATGGCCCCGCAAGCGCCGTTTGGGGATCAATGCTTCGTTGGCTCCCCCAATCGGCGGGCAGAAAACATTCAACGCCTTTGAGAAGCAGGGGGGGGGCTGAGTAGGATGTTGAGTCTGATGCCAGATGTAGCGCGAGTGCCGTTTTTTTTTTTTTGTTTTTTGTTTTTTTTTTTTTTATCTCTCTCTCTCTCT